CATTGAAGTGTGTTATTGTCATTATTTATAACCATTGTAATTTCAGGTAGCTTACAGCTGATGAGGTACTATGAAATAGGATAATATCACTTTCTACTACCGATCTCATCTTTCTTTCCCTATTGAAACTCATCAAGGGAACCGGATGTAAAAATTTCTGGAACGGAGCGTCCCTGCCACAATACGGTCACTGTATTATTTCCTTGATTGCAGTTGAGTTTTCCAAATATATTTTTTAAGTGGAAACATCCACGATTACTTTGTATACGTCATTCGTGGTTATATTTCTTGTTTTTTTAAAGAGTAAACAGACAAACCAACAGAAGTCATCTCGGACTATAAACAATAATGCGTCCACAATTCAGAGGAGCCAAATCCAACCAGCTGGAGTACGCAAATGAAGCACATTTGACATGTGTACTTCTCTTCATATGATGCATTCCCTGTACAAAGTTATCATTATTTTACTTTCTCTTTTATATCACTGCTTGTCTTGTGATCGTTTATCTTTGAATTAATATGCATAATATATTAACTTTCTGAAAGCCTTTTTAAAATCTATATTGTGTTTTGTCATTAGTTAATTGGAAACTCTGGAGACAGTAAAGTTGTTTTCCAGGGTGCGTGCAATTGGAAGTTTGTAGTAAGTTGAGATTATTTGCAAACCCCGAGCAGCGGTAGTAGTGGTAGCAGCATCGAAGAAACATCAAAGCATCGTGCATTTTGAGGGCCTTCATATAATACAATGTTGTCGTCAAAGTCGATTGCTTTTACTGGAATTTTTTGACTTCCTACTGGAATTGGGGGCTTCCATCCTAAGCTTTTAAGTTGCAGTAGGTGTGGTTTCGGTTTCGTGGGATAAAGTTGCTAGTCTTACACTCAACCTTATCTCTTTAATGCATTAAGTTGTGCGTCGGGCGGAGATCGAACCCCAGCCCAAGTGTACGTTGTTGACAATTATGCTACTGGCGAACTACCATTGCGAGTATTTTCTTTCCCTAATGTACTACACATCACAGATAGCCTATAAAACTCTGCTGCAAACGGTTTACTAGATCCTTAATAATAATAATTTGCTTTATTCCAAAACAGTACTTGCGATAGAAAATGGAATTCTCAGCATTTTACTACAATATTGCACCCAGTTAGTACATTATTAATAAATATAATTCTACATAGATTAAGGAAATCTCAGTTCATTATGACAACAACATATTGACATGTCAGTAGCAAAGCCAAAATTGAACAGAGTGTTTGAAGGTGTTAGAAAAGTAGATGCTAGCATATTCACTGACGTAAGCAGAAGAAAGAAACAAAGCAGCACATAACAGAGAAAAGATAGAAAGAAAACGTACCTGTAAATGATGTGAGTTGGAAAGACGAAATCCAGTTGTTCTACTGACTATTTAATAAGCTATAGGTATCACGCCTATTACTTTCTTTATCGCACAGAGCACGAGCTAAGTAGGGTATGGCTGAATTTTTGTACTTACTAGTGCGAGCATATAGTTTTCTAAAGCGGCTTCTGGTTTTCCCTGATGACATACAAGGGGAGAGTTGTGAATGAAGAGAATGGTGTGAGTTAGATAAAAAGAATTTAGCCCATTTTTTACATGAGTCCATGTGCCTGTCCACCAGAATATTAACGACCTCGTTAAGTGGCACATTGCTTACCCTGCTGACAACCTTTAACATCCTGCGTAATAAGGTATACTCTTTCTTCAGTAGCCGTGGAAAAACTAAGGGGGAACAAAAGAGAATAATAGGCAGAATACGGAAGTTAACAAATTGTAGGAGTAAGGGTTGGGTTATTCCAGAATGTCTTAATTTCTTGATGTAGAAGGTAAGACGGAATATTTTCTTAGAAATCATCAAGATATGAGACAACCAGGAAAGATCAGCAGATAGAATAATGCCTAGGTATTTAATTTCTGACTTGGTTTCAATTTCAGTGCCATCAGTGTTGCACACCTCGTGAGTGCTAACCAGTTTGTTTAGGTCAGGTTTGTGCCTAAAGGTGAAATTAACTGTTTGGCATTTGGAGGGGTTTAAGGCGAGACTGATTTCTGACAAAAAGCCGTTTAGTTTAGAGCAGTCACCTTGACATTTGACAGGTAAAGATACAGTTAGGTCATCAGCATATTTGACAAAGTTAATGTCATTTGAAGATGGTAGGTCATGTAGAAAGAAAGAAAAGAGAAGTGGGGAGAGTACAGCACCTTGGGGGATACCAGCGTCAGTGAGCACAGCAGAGGAGGATTCGCCTTTGTATACGGTATACTGCATTCTGTCTGAGAAGTAGGAATGCAACCAGTTAGTGAACCAGGACTCAGTCTGTGTCATGGAGAGCTTATTTAGCAAGAGACATCTAGGTACAGATTCGAAAGCAGAAGTGAAGTCGAGAAACGTGCAGCGGACGTATTTGGCACCTTTATCTAATGATGAGACGATACTGTTGTGTAAGACGGCTGCAGCGTCTAAAGTGCTCCTACTCTGTCTATAGGCAAATTGTTTGGGGTCTTCAAAGCTTTTAACGGAGGGTTTGAGTTTAAGAAGTACTAGTTTTTCCATAAGCTTTAGAAACGGGGAAGTGATGATAAGGGTTTAGGAACAGGGACTATTTTAATGTCTTTCCATGGAACAGGTAAAACGTTTTTGGGGAAAGAAGTATTTAGGATGTTGGTTAGTGCAGAACATAAACCATCTGCGCATTGTTTTAGAACATATGCAGGTATACCATCAGGGCTAAGGCTACGTGAGGGCTTAAGCGTTTCAAGACATTTTAGAACGTCGAGAGAATTAAAGTCATGAAAGTTATCAGCTACATGATTAGTAACGTTAGAAGTAGTTATAGTAGAAGGAGAGCGTATAAAAGACTGATTAAGAGTATTAACATCATAAGAGGGAAAAACATTACGTCGCTTACTATTGACAGTGATCCCATTGAAAAGTTTCCACATGCTGATAGGAGATTTGCATGATAAGTGTTTGGTTATAGATAGCTTTAGGATTTTGGATTTCATTTGAGTATTAATCTTTTTAAGACCTAACTTATCTTTGCGTTTATATAATGTTTCTTTTTGCCTGCGAAGTTGTTTGAGACGAGGAGACGAGAAGCGGTCGAGGCGTTTGAATAGTGTTTGTTTGGGACAGCATATGTCAAGGCTGAACTAAAGACAATTCGTTATATTGGCGATTGTGTCACCTAATGTACTTTCATAGAATAAATCACAGTTAGTATTTCTTAACATGCGCCTGAGATCGAGTAAGTTGTCAGATGTGTAGCATCTTTGTTGTGCTTTCATAGACAGATGTGAGAAGACTTTAATATGTGTTTTGCTGTATATTTTTGATAAAACACGAACATTATAGTGATCAGAGTTAAGTATCGGTGAACGTCTACGTGTTTCATGTACTCCTTCGTCATTAGTAAAAACTAAATCGAGCGTTTTGTCAACGAAAACGATATCACCTCATTTCAGACAGCGATTTTAGGTGTGATAAGTATAATACTAGATTTATATACTCTATTCAGTCGTTCTAAAGAACAGTGAGATTTTAGGAAATACATGTGACGCTACAAGTTATAGAGAGTGAAATGTATCGCATAAAGGGGCGATAAAATGCAGCGGGATGATTTATACATAATCAGTGATAAACTAGAAAAAACCACTTATCGTCATAAATACCTTGAGTTGTTGGATGTCTATCGCATCTAACAGCCAACAAGGGTGTCACAATTAGCTTGTTTTTGTAAATTTAGTAAAGATGTAACTTCTTCGGGACGTATGGAACATAGGCGCACTAAATATTACATTCTGATTACACATACTTTTCATGCGCACAATTCTGTTTTAGTACAGGAGATTTGTACCTCAGGTGGTTGTGTTTAAGGTATCTCTGAACTGGTTGGCGTAATAGCGTTGCTTTCTCTATCATTCTAGACATATGTGGCGCTAACTTCAACATATTGGCAATAAGTAACACTAATATATTGGGAGCCGGACTACACCTTACAGTTGGATTGTTGAATACTTATTGAACTGGAAATACTGGGGACTTAAGCGTCATTCGATTCCACAATACATGCTAATGAGGTGTGATGCTACCAAACAAACACTGAGGAAGTACCTGCCACTTACACGATGAAGTAGTTTATGTAAGTAAGTGAAAATCGAAGTGTAGACTGCCCGATTGAGGTCCTCAAGATGCTGAGATCCAATGGATGGAAACTGTTGGTTTGATGATTCTCAGATGATACACTAGTCAAGGGGACTCTTCGCTCCGAATTTCACTGGAACACTTTTCCCCATTCTTATCAGTCGGGATAATGAACTATCACATGGAACAATCACAGGCTGTTACGCAACACTGACTGGTAATTTAGTTACCCTTGTCTATAATTTATCAGCATGATCTTTAAAAACTTGTAGTGTTAAATCACTAGTTCTTGTTGCCTTTCAGATGCATTTGAATTAGGGGGCCTTCGCAGCCTTAGTTTGTTAAATTTCATAAAGATACATTTTCAGAACTTGAAGCTACTACAGTAATGAAATGAAAGGTTTCTTTATCATTTACTTCGGACGCATTGTATACTTTTGATAAAGCGGGTGTATTCAAGTTCGTAATACTGGATAATTTCGACACTCTATTTTAATGATGAAAGAAGTCATCTGATTATAAATCTGCACATATAGGAAGAGAATCGAAGCGAATATAAAAACAGACATATGCCATCAGTGTTTTTGTAAACAAATCGGTATATTCCATCGACAATGACCCTAAGTATGAAACATTCAAGAGTGAACTGGATTCTGCTTACATACACCCATTCTTCTACTTGAAATCAGAAACCAGTCATCTTTTCGAAAAGTAAATGCATATTTTCTTTATAAAAACAACACTAGATTGATTGTGTATCAAAAATATGCTGAGAAATTATCACATACACAAATAACAATCTCCGTCATCATCATCATCATCATCGAAACTCTTATTGATCAGGAAGTAAAAAAGTTGACATTTTTGATATATTCGTCTAGTGTATAACTAGTCGTTTGTGATAACAAATTCTCTTCTTCAATCCAAAGATAAGAATCATTTGCATCAAAAAATGGATTTTCACCTGTTTGAAATTGATAATTCTTCTCCACTGACAGCCTTTTTCGGCACTTATTATCATTGGAGTCATCATTCATTCTCAATTTCATTTCCATATAGTAGGCGTGCAACATCATACGTTTTAGTTTATAATCCAGGTGTATATTATGAGTTCTATAAACATCGTGCTTGTATTCTACATCAATATGATTGAATGGACGACGTGAATAAGTGATATCTCCAGCGATTGGATGACCCAAACCCACTGCACAGTGTACACGTAACTGATGTCGACGGCCAGTATTAGGAATAAGAAGTACACGTGTAGCTGGTTCACCCATCAAATTGCCATAATCAAGAATAATAACTGTAGTAGAAGATTCCCGTGGTCTCTGAAATATGTTTTGCAAATATAGTTTAAGAATAATGCTGTGAGCCAGTAAAATGAAAGAAAACTCACTAACGATTGTGATTAGTATTCGAAAATTTACTAACATGATCAATAATCACATTACAGTCCCACTTATATGTGATATGTACATCATGAGAATTATTATTATTATTTCCTTTAATTCCTAGAGGAACATAGGGCTTCAGCTGAGCTTCTCCATTGCCTTCGGTTTTCTGCCAACTTTTTCACTCCGCTCCAAGTCTGCCCACATGCTTGTAATCTCCTCTTCACATGACCCTTCTCCAAGTCACCCTCGCAGTGACGACCAACTTGCCGCTTCCCTTTCGGGTTCCAATCGAGCAACGGCTTGTCTAGTGATGTCACTCGATGGTTTCCTCAGCGTATGGCCAATCCATCTTCATTTCTTCCTGCTTATTTGTTTTACAATCGGTTCCTGGTTGGTTCGGTCCTAGAGATCCCTGTTGCTGATCTTTTCTGGCCATCTGATCTTGAGTATTGAGCGAAGACACAGACTTAAGAGTAATGAAAGCTTGTCTTGCTTTTCCGATCCTCGCTGCTTTGATATCCTCATCAATTCTGTTCGGCTGTAGTTGAAAAGATGCTTCCCAGGCAGGATAGGTAAAGGAGGTTGTTTCTTTCAGGTTCCTACCATTTATGCTGGCTGATTGTTGTCCGTTGTTGTTGCTGTTGGCCAGGAATCTTCATCACCTCTGTTTTCTCTATGTCCTCCTGAAGTCTTATCATCTCTGGATGCTTCTTCTGCCAACTTGTTGCTTTTCACTTGCATATCTTTTATTTATTTTTATTTTTTATTTTTGATTACAGCTTGATTCCACACTGTGTTTTTGGTACAAGTATGGAATTTTCAGCATGGATATCGGTAGCCCAAATTTCGCAGGCCGACCATAGATATCAGATGTGCATCGGCAGGGGATCGAACCTCGAACCATGTGCATGGTCGGCGAGAGTCCTAACTACTGTGGGTAGTCAGACATATATCATCGGCAAAATCCAGATCCAGAATAATATACACAAATCAGATTAGTCACCAAATGAAAAATGGTATAAACTGATGGTCTTAAACTACAGATGCAAAGTCAAAGAAGCTACAACAAGGAGATTAGACAGAAGAGAAACTAGAGTCATAAATTAACTGGTGGATGGTAACTAGCAGTGGAATCCAGGATAATGCGCATTTCGTCCTATTTGGGACTCTGCACAAGAAGCCGACATGTCAACCTGAAACTGAGTAATATTAAAACCAAGGTAGTAATAACAACAGTATTTACAGGGCAACATGATGTAATCCCTATTTCATACGATTCTCTTCAGCAAATTTAAATCTAAATGTAAAAATAGGTGCATGAATTTTTGTTTGTTATGTGGAAAACATGATGATATTTCACAGTGGTCATAATATAAGATTGAATCTTTTCTCCCTCATCTGTTTCACTCCATCGGAATCTGCTATATAGGTGATAATTCTATCCCCTCTCTCCTTCTTACTGTATTCGATGTGGTTAAAATATGAAAGCAAAATTAAAAAGTACAGAAAAAAGATCAGCTACACCAATGCCTACTATAGACAGCGGACTTAGGATTGATTTCGACAATGTCGAAAGTCTAAGAAGAGGCTTTCATTCACATAAAGAAAGACTGACCTCTGAAGCCTTGCACATTTTAACCACATCAAATGCAGTAAGAAGGAGAGAGGGGATAGAATTATCACCTATATACCAGATTCCGATGGAGTGAAACAGATGAGGGATAAAAAATTCAATCTTATATTATGACCACTGTGAAATATCATCATGTTAATTAGGAATAGTCGCGGTGTTTGGGGGAACACTAAGAGGTTGTATAGGTGATATGTATCCATATATATATATATATATGGTGGTCTCTCTTTCTGTTGCTCTCTTAGTCTGTGACCATTTCACTTTGATGAACTTGTCTCCTTTAACAATGTATATTCCCCTTATATTATATATATAATATGTGTGTTTGTTGACAGTCTGACCTTGGTGATATATATATCCATATATGTGTGTTTGTTTGACAGTCCGTTATATTTCGCTATGTATATATGGATCGATACTCCATCATAATTAGCCAATCATGTTAAGACTGTCTATTGATTTGTTCACACACTTGTTCGGATATTCATATATATTTTTGCTCTCACACTATTGTGTGATATTGATTCTCCTGGTGTTTTGGAAAATAGAAGTATCATCGCAAACCTAGTGGTCTTCTGATTTCCGTCTTTCTTGCGTCAGGACTATTAAATTCTCGACCAGTACATAACAATAATTTGGCGACGAGTACATAATAATTTAGTGAAATGGTCACAGACTAAGAGAGCAACAGAGAGAGAGACCACCATATATATATATATATATATATATATATATATATATATGGATACATATCAATAGGAAATAGGGCTGACAGTGGAACAAAATACAATGTGAGGAAAACAAGAGAACTTTGCATTGATACAGAAAAAAAGACTAGTTCTACGTGACCACATAGTCCATAGGGTTCCCGTATGTGAGGCTGCATACACGCTACCATTTTTGAGGCGATACAATTTGAGGAAAAAAGGTTGTGTTTCTTTCATTTGATTTGATGGATAAATATCAGCGTTGTGTGCAGCAACTATGGGGAAGATAATGAAATAAAAATGCCATTCTGTCCCAATGTTTTCTTAAGGCCTAGCTAACATGACTGACTGACTGACCGGTTTCAACATAGAACTTTGCACCGATATGCAGCAGTTCAAGTCGCCACACCCCCCTCCTTGTAGCACACAAAGTGATGGAAGACAATAAAAAGAAATGCAAAATAGAGACAGTAAGCAGCCACATGAGACAAAAGGAATAGTGATATAACATAACATAACATAACAATTTCGCTTTATTCCAGAAACAGTACTTGTGGTACAGTGTGGAATTTTCAGCACATATCTACAATATTGCATCTAATTTCATCGTACATTTAAAAGGAGTATTATAAAAAAAAATAAAATATAATAAAAACCAAAAAAAAGAAACAGAAATAACCAAAAAAAATGCAAATAAAAATACTGAGTAAAAAAGAAGACGAACACAAATAATGAAAAAAAATATTTCAGTATTAGTTAGTGGAGGCTACGATATGTGTATGCGTGGTGAACAGTAACAGCTATAATCATACGGGAAATTATGAGATGTTCTTAAAAAAAATGTTTATAGCCAAGATGATCAGTTAATTTGATTGAACAACACTAAGCAATCATAAGATAAACATTTCAGGTTTTTTTTTTGTCAGTACTAATGCGGTTGTTTGTAGTGGCAGTGTGAGGAATCATGCATAATACAAAATTTTTAAGATGGTGATAGTGGCAATAACAAACAAGATTGTCAGTTAAATAGTGCCGAACAAAGAACAACCACAAAACTAATGTTACATGATGGTTAATGACGGGACAGTTTTTAATAATCATAGTGATAATATAGTCGGACCCAGTAGATGTACAAAGAAGGAGTAGAATAAAGAATAAAAATGTAAGCCAATGATAATAATTTTAAGCAGCTAAGTATGTTTAAGAAGGTTGTTCACTATAGAGTACAAATAAGAGAGTGTAAGGGGGAAAAAAAACAAGGGCCAAAATTCTGTTATTAACAACAAAGCAAGTCATAGGTTTCACGTCTAACATTGTCTCTGTCACTTAGAACACGGGCCAAATATGGTATCGTTGAGTTCCTATACTTGGTTGTGCGAGCATATATTATTTTATACTGATTTCTGGTTCTACTTGATGAGATGCAGGGAGAGAGTTGGGAATAGAGGGGGTGTTGGGGGTCAGAGAGTATGGTTTTAGACCATTTCTCACATGTATTCAGATGCTTATCCACTAATGTTGTGACGAGCTGGTATGGAAGAACAATATAGTTTCATTGGGTATTATAAGTCACAAGGAGTGGATCCATCTGCACCATTGGGAACGATTTCGAGCCATATCACCTATTGTCTCCAGCCAGTGGTTTTTACCATCCCGAGGATCCCAACCAGTCAGGAAGTCTACACCTTTCTACATGGCTGGTTTAAACTAACTGTTGTGAATTTCATTGACTGGTAAAGCCATGTTTTGGTTTGACCACCACTGGCTTTTTTCCCCAACCTGACTCTATATCAGCTAACATTGCCGGTCGGTGTTAACATGAATAAGACGATATAGACATATGCAAAAATGATTTACTCACACAACATTCAGGATGTGTAGCTGGAACAATTATCTTTTGTTTACGTCCAGTATCTGGCCAAAAATAACGAAGTGAACCAAGTGACATTTGAATATGATAAACAAATTTTGATTCACGTTTAACAAAAGGCGATAAGGTGTTTGATGAATCTATGCATTGTGGTGAATCAACATGCCCCCAGAGAATAGCTAAATAATACTTCTTAACTTCTTTCTTCTCAAAAGCACGTCTAATCTATGCAAGGACAGAAAAGATCAAATAAAAATATTCAATGGTGATAACAGCGACCAACTCACTAAGTACACACCAAATATCAAAACTTTACATTAAATTGGAATAAAGCAAGAAACAAAAAAACAGTTTTTGCAGAATAATATGATATCATCATTTATTTTGTCAGCTTCTCATCAACTGCTGTTTACAGCCTAAATAAATTATTAATGAGTTCATTTACAGAAAAGTTTTAGAACAAGACATATAAGCGAAAAATAATGTTTTCAATTAGATCTTCTTTAGGCTTTACACTAATTTACATAATTTATATCTAAAAAAATTTAACCAATGATGGTGATTTTGTGGATCAAATAATGATAATAATAATGTGGTAAATGTTATTTGAATAGAATTCACCTAGGCCAAGGGAGAGACAAAGGTAGAACAAACTACTTTTGTATGCAAAGACTAGGATTGCAGATAATGATGATATTTCTCCATTATGGATAAGATTTTATTTTGATAAATCACACTGTTGTACAGTAATATTAACTGATGACGTTTCAAGCACAAACAATTGCTCATAATCATATCAAGTGAGTTATCATTATAATCATCGTTAATAATGACGTTCAAAACATTTACCACATTATTATTATTATTACTATTATTATGATTATGGTTTTAAATGAATGATCACACTTTGGACTTGTTTGGTAGCTAATAATGGTTATCTGGAAAACTTTATCACTTGTCTCAGTAAAGGAAGACCACATCTCGAAAAGACAACTTCTGTACCAAAGAAAGCTATCTTAATATACCTACCATTCAAGGGCGACCAGATTATTCAGTTGACAGCTCAAAGACTTTGGTCAGCCATCAAACGCACATTCTACGTCGCATCTGTTTTTCTCATTTGCCGAACATTTTCGATCCCTGTACCTATGGTTTTTGCGTCGGTGGCATAGCGGTTAATACGCTCGCCGACCATACACATGGTCCGGGTTCGATCCCCGGTCGACGAACTCCTTTACCTCGATAAAACCAGAAATAATGCTGGTAAAGAGGAAAGGTTAGGTATGAGGCTAGCAACCCCATCTTGTAAAAATAAACACTGCTAAAGAATCTCCATGCCCCTAGCTTGAGGCCATATGTTGCCCCGCTTCAATGTTCGACAAAGCGACAAGCCTTGTCCAAACAAATCCAGGCCGAACTAAGCGCCGCAGATGAACCAACATCCACATCTTCTAATACACCTGAGACATGATGGAATCATTTCAAAGAAGTAGTCTCTAAAGCTTCAATGTCGCATTTGGGTACCACATCCAAGAAGCAGAAAAACTGGATTTCAGAGCACACCATGCATCTATCCTCGCAAGTCAGAGACGCTCGCCTAGCAAAGTCTCTAGTTTATCGCTCCCTCAGGCGCAAAGCTAGGAATGACAGAAATCGCTATTGGTCTAATGTGGCGACTAACATGGAAGCAGCATCAAATGTAGGCGATTTCGGAAAACTTTATCGCCTCATACGCCTACCATCTGGCAAACGCCTTAACAGTCATGCTGTGTTACGCACAGCATCAGGAGAAATTATTTCGGACACCAATGGTAAGATGGAACGATGGGCCGAACATTTCAAGCAGCTACTCAATCGCAACGCTGGTCAACCGTCTCATCGACCGATACGACACTTACCAACACCCTACGTAGTTGACTGCGATCCACCCACTCCAACCGAAATAGCTAAAACAATTAACAGACTCAGAAACAAAAAAGCTCCGGGCGAAGATGGTCTACCTCCAGAAATATACAAGGCCTGCACTCCAGCGCTAATCGATTCGCTGCACTCGCTGTTCTGCTCAATTTGGGAGTTCGAAACCATTCCTTCCGATTGGAGCACCTCAGTTCTGCTACCGTTCCACAAAAAGGGAGACGGGTCACTATGCGAGAACTACCGAGGCATAAGTCTGATTGATATCGCTGCTAAGGTTTTTGTTTCCATTCTCCTGAACCGCTTCGCGACCGAACGCCACGTGAGAACAAGGCCAAATCAAGCCGGATTTCGACCTGGAAGAGGCTGTGTTGACCAATTATTCACGCTGCGAAGAATTTCGGAACACAGGGACGAATTCCAACAGCCGACGGTTGCTTGCTTCATCGACTTTCAAGCGGCATTCGACTCAGTTGATCGAGGAGCACTCTGGTATCTAATGGAGCTCGACGGAGTTCCGACCAAGCTAATCAACTTGCTCAGGTCATACTACTCCAACACCAAAGCTAGAGTCCGAGTGAACGGTGAAGAGTCTCGCACTTTTGAGGTAACCAGCGGTGTCCGGCAAGGTTGTCCAGCATCCCCCATCCTGTTCAATTTCACAATCGATTGGATTTTGCGGCACGCCCTAACCGAGCACCACGGCGTCCAACTTTCGCCCGATATTCACATAACCGACCTCGAATTCGCCGACGACGTCGTGCTATTAGCTGAAAACTTCCCCGATATGCAACAGGCGCTCGACCAGATAAACCACCTCGCCCCTACTATCGGTTTGAAAATTAACACTTCCAAAACCAAAATGTTTTCGAACACATCCACCAGAAATGATAAAATCTTATCCCTGAATGGAGCACCTATTGAAATTGTGCCATCCTTCAGATATCTGGGATCCATAATGCTCCCCAACGGTCAAGCGAAAAACGAAGTGAATGCGCGAATCTCCAACGCCCGGAATGCGTTTCTACAGCTGAGGAGAGTTCTATGGAGCAAGAGGGAAATCAGTCTCAGGACTAAAATTCGGGTCTACCAAGCTTCCATACGACCCGTTCTCCTGTATGGCTATGAAACCTGGCCTCTTCGCGCGGAAGATTTACGCAGACTCGAGGTAGTAGACCATTGGTACTTCAGGTACATTCTGCATGTTCGTTGGCAGGACAAACTTTCCAACGAAGAAGTGCGTCGTCGTTGCTACAACATCAACCAAATTCCAGTACTGGTCCAACAACGCCGCTTTCGGTGGTTTGGCCATGTTCTGCGCCGACCAGATGACGATCTGGTCAAATCAGTTCTAAATCCCTCGCCATTACCATCTTGGCGATGTCGCAGGGGTGGACAGCTGAAGACATGGCTTGGTACAGTCAAGGCTGATATGGAGTGCCTGGGGCTACAAACCGTCTACGGACTCCGTATGTGGAACAAGAATTGGATATCCCTGTCGCAAAACCTTGCATCAGATCGGCGCGCCTGGGCAGCGATGATTCGAGACGTTCATGAAGCCGGTTCATCCTCCCGCAGGAGATAGTCGAAGTAAAGTAAAAGTAAGCCATATGTTCCACTGGGAACGTGAAGGAAATAAGTACCTACGGTTACAGGATGAAATTCTGTTGACTCTACAAGTTCACCTGCAGCTGAGGTGACACCAATATAGGTAGAACCAACAGAATGTTCTACTGTCATCGAAAAGAACATGTTCCAAAATGGCTACTAAATCATATAGAAAATCCCAATGCGATTAATCTGAATAGGAATCCATCCCCATCATTATCCATTGCAAAACACTTATTAATGTCAGGTCACAAAATCAATATCAACGACTGTTTCACAATTATTTCACATAACTCTAATTCAAGATTATTGAAGGTGATGGAAGCACTTTGGATTAATCGCATACAGCCTAAACTGTGTGTACAAAAGACAACAGACTTCAATCTTCGCCTACCATGGACTACATGACCTTTTAAATATGACTGGTCATTAGTATGTACTTTTTTAACTGAGTAATTGTCATGATCTTTGTTTTACTATTGTGAACCATGTTAGTTGTAAAGCAGTTGTAAAGAAACTGCGAAATGACGAATTATCTCGCGAGAATTTTCTTCTAAATGCCTTATTCAAAATTTAATATCATTATTATTTCATCCACAAAATCACCGTCATTGGTTACATTTTTTTATACATAAATCTATGTAAATTAGAGTAAAGCCTGATGAAGATCTAATTGAAAACAATATTGTTCGCTTATATGTCTTGTTCTATTATTAAAAATGGGAATATTTAAAGAAAAGTTTTTACCTACTTGCAAATTTCACATGATGTCAGTTGACAGAATATTCTGGACTTAGTGAATTGTGCTCAGAAAACTACGCCTATATAATTTTTATAAAGGCAGCTTAAGTAAATGTATGCATACAATGGCAAAAGAGTTACGTAATAAAGAAGAGAGATGAATAAGATGACGAGTAACAAACAAATTGGGTAACAATGTACTGAGCTCAACTCAAGCCACCGAGGGCACTATAGAAACAACAGACAAACAGAATTACGTTACAGCAAATGAGGTGAGATTAAAGCCAGGGTAAGGGAAGACTGATAACTGCTTCTTTATGAACACAAAAATCGGAATTCAGGCGTTTGATAGAGATTGCTTCGGCAAACTTGAAGAGAATTGAGCTATTTTTGTCTGTTGATAATTTTATTAGGGGATTTCGCGAAGTCCACGTCATGACCCGGTTCAAGGGGATACCTGGTAATGCCACTATTGTAACGTTTATCCCCTTGAGATGTAAGCCTTTCGATATATGTTTAGAAATTTAATTCAGAAATTAAATTATTTTCAGAGTTTATGCCTTTTTGTCTGACTCAGAACCGTGACTGAAATTTTTAGGATCTTGATATGTGTACACAATTGATCTCATTAGTTTGTCTATCAGATAACAATCCACCTGCGCTGAAGATATCGTCTAGAAGGACGACGAAAGCTTCACAATTAAATCAACCAGTTCAGAGAAAACACAACTAATTCAATATCAAATTTTGTCATTTAGTGAGAGACAACCAGTCAGAATGCAAAGTGATGTTACCACCCACTATTCAAGCCTTTTTAGACGATCTATTTATTTTTGTACTTCTTGATCACTTCGTCTCTAGCTCGTTTTAGAAATAAACGTTCAAACGCACCGTGTGAGTTTCCTGGGATTTATTAGTTTCGGTTTAGGGATTAATCAACTAGGAAATCATCAAGCGTTCAT